CTGATCTTACTAAATTTGAAAGATAAATACAAATAAACAATAAATCAAAATTTAAATAATCCGAAAATAAGGACATCTACATATCTTTGTCCATAAATTACATATACCGTATAACCTGTATTAATTACTCTCCCTCAAATAATTATCTAACTTCCATTAATTACCCTATCCAGCGATGGATTGAAACAATAATTACCTCCCAACAAATGCCCTAAAACACGTTCAAATTTCAAACCTCGTATAATTACCCTCCCTCGATTAATTACTCCCTCCAGCAGAAGGTCGAAAGAATAATTACGCAGGGTGGTTATTAAAGGATATACGGTAATTATGTAAAACTTAAAATCAGAATTTATATTTTAATTAAATCCCAAAATCAGAATTTATAATTAATTAGCTTTCTATGTCCGTAATATTTTTCCTCATCCTTTTTTTATCCGCAATTTCTTTCAAGCAATTTTGAATGACTTTAGAGAAAAGAGTGAAAGTAAAAGCGCTCGCAAAGGCTTTAACTCTCTCTTTCTAAAGTAAAAGTGTTTTCATAATTTTTTTACATATTTTGGCTTAATACATATAGTATTATAAAAGAAAGCATTAAAGAGCATGGCAGAAAAGTAAAATAAGCGCGTAAAAGTTTTTTTTATTTTTACTTCCTTATTTCCTTAGATATTTTTTGACATTTATAAATTAATGTTTGAATATTCTTTTAATTTTTTATATCCTTCTCTATTATTTTAAAATAACTAGGTATTTATCAGAGGTGGGTCAAAACGTTTTTTCCTTCCGATTTCCGAAAAGAAATTTTGATTTCCGATTCCCGATAGTTCCGATTCCCGACAGTTCCGATTCCCGACATTTCCGATTTCCAACAGTTCCGATTTCCGGCTCTTCCGATTTCCGACAAATCCGATTCCCGACAGTTCCGATTCCCGACATTTCCGATTTCCAACAGTTCCGATTTCCGGCTCTTCCGATTTCCGACAAATCCGATTCCCGACAGTTCCGATTCCCGACATTTCCGATTTCCAACAGTTCCGATTTCCGGCTCTTCCGATTTCCGACAAATCCGATTCCCGACAGTTCCGATTCCCGACATTTCCGATTTCCAACAGTTCCGATTTCCGGCTCTTCCGATTTCCGACAAATCCGATTCCCGACAGTTCCGATTCCCGACATTTCCGATTTCCAACAGTTCCGATTTCCGACACCTCTGACTGTTCAGCCCCACCTCTGGTATTTATTACCTTAGCTTTATTTCATAGCAGAGGTCGATTGGAATTCCGTTTCCCGACATCTTCTCATTTCCGATCGACCTTTGTTTAATAAATAGTCATTTTTAACAATTTTGTTTTTTAAAATTTATTAAATTTTAAATCAGATATATGTACTATGTAGTAGATCTTACTTAGGTAAGTTATAAATTCCTCAGTTTCGTATTTCATTATTCAATAATATTTTTAAATCTTTTAACAAATATTAAATTTAATATCTAATTTTTGTGTTAAATTTATTATTTAAAAGTATTAGCGAAATAATTACTTGGGTGATTGCTCTGAGGAGTAATTATTATTATAAGGGGCTAATTAACTTACTTTTCTTCAGCTGTGGGGCGCCCCATGGTCATACTTTTTTTCAGCTTACTTTTTGTCTTTTTTTCTATTTTTTATTCAAGCAATTAAATAAAATTTTGTATTTAACTAATTAATTAAATATTTTAAATAATTTATTAACATTTAGATTTTTAAATTAATTTTCTATTTTTGAATGTTAAATTACTCTCTCATTTAAACTAATCCATTCTTAATTATATCTTTTATTTTCTCCCTCCAAAAATGGTTTCTTAAAATAAAAGTTTTCCTTTAAAATAATTAATTCTTGAAAGTTAATTAAATTTTATTCAAAATTGCTTCTTAAAAATCTTCTTTACTTTTAAAAATCGTCATCTCTTCCTTCCACAAAGATTTATTTTAATATTTCTATAAAAAATGTTTGTGTTAATTAAATTCAAAAAACGTCATTTATTTTAGTGCTTTCCCATTAAAGACTTTTTCTCTCTTGAAACAATATTACTTTAATTATTATGCCCTAAAACTTGAATATTTTCATGAAATTATTAATTCCTTTTTTACCGTTAAATTTATAATTTTTGTAATAAATTTAAAAATGGGTGCTTTATTAATATCCCGCCCCTACACCTATTTGAGTCGCAGTTAATTTTCCGTTTTATTTTTCCTGCCGGTGCATACTTGGGCCCTGTTTTTGGTCACTGTCTATTTTCTCCTTCTTAATACTTGCCTTTAACCTGTAATGTTTGATGGAAAAAATGATTGACAGTAAAAAAGAAAATTAATCTGAGACTCAATTACGGGGGGGGTGGGGGGGTATTAATAAAGTACCAAAGAAGCTTATTAAAATTGAATTAAAAATTTTAAAAAATAAGAGAAGCTTCCTATCTATAAAAATAAGATTTTCCTATTTTTGACTCTCTTTTTTCTATTTATTATTTTATGTATAGTTTTTAATTTTAATTAAAATTTTTTTTCTTTAATTCTACATATTTTTGTTTCTGTTAATTATTTATTTTTTAATTATTTTTTAAAATTTTATTTAATTAATTATTTGTACTTTTGTTATTTTTTTTTAAATTTTTACCGGAAATTACTCTATAAATAGATTAATATTTAAATATTTGACATAATACGTTAAAGATTAATTGGGAGAGAAAAAAACTTTAGAGAACCTTAAATTAAATATATTAGCTAGAAATTAAATAAATAAACATCACGAAATGCGCGAATTAATTAAATATTTAAGTGACGAAAATAGAAAATATAAAATTGAGGGATTTTAAACGGAAATGAAAACGGAAGAATAAAAAAACTTTTAATCTTTTTTTGAATATCATAGCAAGAATACTAAATTTATATAGTAAATTGCTCTCCTGTTTTTTAAATTAAGCATAAAGAAAATTATTTTTTTATTATTCTTTTGTGAATAAAAAATAATTATTTAATATTACTAAAAAATATTTTTTATAATACTAAAAATTATTTTTTATATATTTTCTTTCCTATTTTTTTTTAATTTAAGCATTAGAAGTCAGAATTTTTTCCATTCTTCATCAAATTGGTAGGGAAGATCCCAGGATTTTTTTCAGATTTTTCCTATATTGGTTTTCCATAAAAATTAAACTTCGTTTTTAAGTAGGACAAATAGAGAGTTTTCCTGGACAAATAGAGAGTTTTTTCGGGACAAGTCTATAACCATTTTATAGGTAATTAATAGGGCTACAAAAATAAACAAAAATAAAGAAGGCCAGAGAAAAATTTTTTTAGTAAAATTTTAAAAACCATGAAAAAATTTTTCCCTAGGTAAATTTCCGCCACCATAGTATACTATAGTAAATTGCTCTCCTATTTTTTTAAATTAAGCATAAAAATAAAGAAAATTTATTTTTTTATTATACTTTTGTGAATAAAAAAAATGGTATATTTATTTATTCAATATTACTAAAAAATATTTTTTAAAAATATTTTTTCTGTTTTTCTGTTCATTTGCTGCATTTATTGTGTTGCTTTTTGATTAAAATAACATTTCATTGAAAAAGCCCGTAAATAGAGGAAAGGGCAATAAAAGTGCATTCAACTATATCACACGTAGTATTTTTTGAAAATATGTAAATTGTTGATACACTTTTTTATTCCTATATTTTTCTATGTAAAAATATTAAAATAAAATTTTGTCGTTAAAAATATATTTTTAAAAATAATTTGTAATGGTCCCTAAAATTATAATATAATAATACTTAATAATTCGCTAAAATTTAGGAAATCGTGATTTCACTTTCCTGAGTACGAAAATCTTTTAAACATAACAGCTCCGGCCTTATAATTTTTTAAAATTTTATCGAAATTAACCTGCAAAACTACTCTTCCTTACATATGCCCTCACAGAGCAAGGTTTCACCTGACCCAAGTGAAAAAGAACCGATCAAATTTGAGTTTAAAAAACGCCGGAACTTTCCGGAACCGGAACCGGAAGTTCCGGTGAAACCCTAATACACACTACTTTGTTTCATAATTAATTTTCAAATATAATTCCCGGCTATTTTTTTAGATTTTTTAAAATTCTTAATAAATTTTTGAAAATCTTAAAATTATTTTAATTATCATAAAGAATATATTTAACTAATGGATGTCATTCCAAGCCCCCATCAACAACAATTATTAACTGAAGGTTAAAAATAAAATAAAAAAAATATTTTTTAATAACAAAAAATATTTTTTCAGTATCCGCTGGCCCACCAGAAAAAATAACTAGTGATTATATTGAATTAATTTCTTTGATTATTCTCTTTATTATCGGTGCACCTTTGAATTTGGCTGCATGGACACAGGTGTGTTTATTTAATAAACTAGACTGGCTAAATGAATTTTGTTTTTGTTTATAAAATAAATCAGCTGTATAAACTAAAAAAAATTTTCATTTAAAATAGATTATACTAATAATAAAAATAATAATAAAAATAATAATATTTACCGTAAATGTTCGAATAATTACCCCCTCTCAATTAATTATCCTTTTTAATAATTACCCCCTCATTTTCCCTCTATAATTTAAAAACATTGAAAAAATCATTTTCTATTTTAATTATTAAAATATAAGAATCAATATCAAAAAATAAATCGATTTCCTCCTCAATCTATTGAGATATATCCCAAATTTAGCACATCCTCTCGATTAATTACCCCCTCCAGCGATAGGTCGAAACAATAATTACTTAGGGTAATTATTCGAGCATTTACGGTGATATCATTATTTAATTGGAAATTTTTGTCATATTTTATCTTAACTTTGTTTTCTTTAATAAAATTCTGTTAGAAATTAATCTATCATGATGGGTTCGAGAAAATTTAAGAATTCTAAAATAAAAATAAAATACAGATAATCTAATAAATATTCTATAGATCTCAGAAAAGCCAGTTTCATCAAGATTGGACATGCTTAAAAAACATTTAAATTATTCTGATCTTTTAGTTCTTTTTATTTACGTTCCTTCTAGAGCTTGTTGGTTTGTAAATAAATCTTAATTATGTTTTTCTAATAATTATTTTAAGGTTAGTAACATATGATTGGCGTGGTGGTGACCTTTTATGTAGATTAATAAAATTTGCCCATACATTTGCTTTTCAGGTATAAAATATTTGGAAGGTTTTAGAATTAATAATTAAAAATATTTTCATCAAAAAAGGTGTATTAGGGTGGGTTGTTCCTCGACGGGGGAGGAGAGGCCCACGGGGAACAATTTTCGGTGAGGCAGCGCCACGGGGGGAGGGGAATTTTCAGAAAATCTCTCAAATTCCCTGACTTTCGTGGATGGGGAACAACCCTAGTGTTTATCCATTAGTATTTTTAATTAAAATCTTAGCTTTATTCTACATATACATATATTAGGATAGATAAATCCAAACTTTTCTGAAATATTTAATTAAATATAAAATATTTAATTAAATATTAGAATTAATTAAAAACCCTTATCTTCGAGCAACCCATATTTTAAGGTCAAAGCGGAGGATTCAGATCATAAACAAGATACATATAGTCCAAAAATTATTTTTAGATATGGGTCGGGAAATAGGCCTTAACTTTATTATACTCGGTAGTAATGATAACAAATTTGCCTCAAAGATAGATAACATCCTTGCTAACAAAATAAAAAAGAAATTAGGTAAATCGGTAAGGTAATAAAAAAGTTGTGGATTTTTAACTCAAGGGGGGTAAAAAATAAATAAAAATATTTTCTACATAGATCTCATCTAATGTAATTGTTTGTATTGCCCTTGATCGTTTACTTTCTGTCCTTAGTGTTTCACATCGAAATCCGGGACAGGTTTTTTCTTGATTTTTATTCCAAATTTATTAATCTGATTAGGCAACTTGCCGAATGAGAATAATGCTTTTAATTGCTTGGATTGCTGCTGCTGTTATTTCAGCCCCTCAATTTGTTGTTTGGAAATTATATCAGGCATTTGACAATCCGCCATGGAGTCAATGGTTTTTTAAAAATTTTATTTGAAAAAATTATTTTTTTAAAATAATTTTAAAGTATGCAAATATGGGAAATTGAACGGTCACAATTACAACGAAATAATAATTTCCACCTCGCTTCTAATGATACGACAATAAAATTGCTTGACAGCAAAGTTAGATTAAATAATTAATTTTAAAAATTAAGCTAATATTTATACCCAATTATTTTTTAAAAATTATTTATTAGAGTGTAAGGAGAAGGGAGATTTAGCATCCAAAACGCTTACTAGGGTAGGGAGAGGGGGGGGGGGGAATTTGGTCCTCTACCGAGACGTTAGCTCGCTCGGTAGAGAACCTTTAAATACGTGGTGAGCGGGAGTGCCTAGCAATAACTGCCAGGATGTTCAAGGATTGATGTTGCGTGCGGTTAAATTTTTACTTAACTCTTTAGTATATGTTAATAATTATTAAAGAGAAACTTCGAACTTATCAAGAAGTTAAACGACCCTCAAGTTAAATAATAGGGGTAGTTTTTTATGCTAGTATTCTCCCTATTTTTTGAAGATCCGGGATGCCTTTTATTCAAACTAAATTTTTTTATTTAAATTAGTTACTCGATGAGGAAAGTATTTACATGATTTTACATATGTTACTTATTTTTTGGATTCCAGCTTGTATTATTATGGTGAATATACCTACCGTATTTCCTCGATTAATTTCCCTGGGGAATTATTTTTTTAACCCATCCTTGACATGGGGGATTAATCGAGGGAGGGGAATTATTCGAGTTTTGGCATTTGAACGTGCAGTATGGTATTTGGGGTGGGGAATTATTGTTTCAACCCAACATTAGCATGGGGAATTAATTAAGAGGAGGAATTATTCGAGGGAGGGGAATTAATCGAGAAAATACGGTATTTAGTTTCCTAATTTTAAATTCAAAATTTAAAAGTTGTGTTATTTACTTTTATCTTGTTGGGTATATATTAATTCTAAACCAAATTTTTTTGATTTGGTTAATTCTGCTGAAAAGGATGGAATTGGTGAACAACAAATACAAATGGTTAATTTATTAAATAATCAACAACAGCAAAATCAAAAGCATCAAACAGCGCAAAATGTTTAAATTTTTTTAAAATTTTAAAATATTTTTAGCAATTAAATTTAGAGTTATTTTTATTAGATTTAATATTTTTCGGGGCAGAATGTGAATTGTTTAATTAATATTATGGTTTAGTACTGAGTGACCCAAAAGTAATGGGACACATTATTTATGCCATAACTTTATTCAAATTTAAGATAATGAGATGAAATAAATGATATTAAATTATAGAGAATTAAATAAGGAACCTTGGGGGTCGCCCTATAGAACTCAGAAATATAAAAATAATTATTAAAATAATTAATAATTGTATACTTATCATGGTTGTAAGCCTAATAATAAGATATTATTTAAATAAAAGCGAGTTTAAGCAAACTCTGACCGATAAAACACCGTCTTACCAAGACTCCGTCCAAGGAAAAAATATATGCCTTAGTTGAATTTTACTACTAGTTTAATGAGTTTAGTAAGGATTAAGAGGTATATCCGAGGATTTGAAGGGATTAAGGTGAATATCTAGGGATTTTTTAAGGGGAATAACTAGGATTCGAAGGATAATGAGGCATATCTTATTTTTTATTTTTGGATTGGAAAGCAGTAAATGCTAAAATAAAATAATTATAAAATTAATTAATCGTTCTAGGCATCAAATGGCGGTGGTGGTGGAATGTTAGTTGCTTTACGTTCTAGCCGTGTTTCCTATCAACTTGCTCCAATAAATAATAGTACAACTACGCAAGGCCATGAAACTCAAAATACAACATTATTTACTAATAATATTTCAAATATTGAATGTTTGTTAAATAATTATTTTTATTGATAAGAGTAACCCCTTAAAAATGAATATTAAAAAATCATTTTAAAAATTAAATTAATTTAACTAATTTTCGATTGTACTTAGAGAAATTGTCTAAAAATGTATAGAGGTTTGGGACGATATCTGACCTAACCCTCAAAAATTTTTCAGGCTCTTCCAACTTAATTCTTTTAATTTAAGTTTGTCGGTTCCAGGGAATTTTAAATATGTAAAACAGACTTTATGGATATACCACCCCCCTATTTTGAGTATTAAAGTTTTTTCAATGTACTTTCTTCCTTCCCCGATTTCATTCTATTTTCCTTTGGCAAATTCAATGAAAGACATTAACAAAGAAAAGATTAATGTTTCAATCCTTTAAAAACCAGACCTGGTCACGGATACTGATCTTGGTATCCGTATCTGCATATTTACGGCGAATACAGGCGGATATCCGCAGGCATTTTGAACTTAACTGTATCCATATCCGTATCCATGAGCAGGTCTGGGAAAAACTCTGATACTCGAAATTGGGGGGGGGGAGGGGGTGGTATATCCATAAAGTACCCTCAGTTATCCTCATTCCGAACCGACAACCCCTCCCCAAATATTCATAATTTAAAATAGGTAATTAAAATATAAATTTATTTATATTATTCAAATTTTCTTTTAAAATAATCTTATTTTTTTTTAATTTAAGCACCAAAAACCAAAAAACCAATGATTGTATTAAACGATGAAATGCTTCTATCTTTGTCCCCAAGTCAATCACCCCAACCGGGAATTGATTCCTCAGAAGTAAAACAAAATAAACATTTAAATGGAATAGCAGAAATGGTAAAACAAAGAGAAAATGAACAAAGAAATAGTTCCACAACTTCAAATGAAGCAGCTGCTGCTTTACTTTTAGCCTCAAAAAGGCAAAGGCAGTCATCATCTTATAGTGCAAAATCACAAAGGTTTTGAAAAATATTGAAATTATTCTAAGAAAGTAAAAGTAAAAATGTAGCTTTGAAAAGAGGAAAGGGGATATTTCCAAAAAATAATGTGAATTTTAGTTTGGAAAAAATTTTTGATACTTTTCCGTTATACGACTGCAAACTGAGTTTTTAATAGTGTTCGGCAAATGACCTTTTCCGGTATTCGGTATCGGTATACCGAAAAAATACCGATACCGAAAAATACCGTTTTTTACAAAAATTGGGTATTGTGACTTATACTAGGTTTTTTGTTTTTGGACCGATTAGGTCAAGTGAGGTGTCATTCGAAAGAGCTTCGAAAACTGAATCGAACTAGGGGTGGGAGAAGTTGGTACGACGATCAGGGGCCGAGTTACAGACCCCTGAAGTTTGAAAAAGAGAAGGGGGGAGTAAGCTCATTTTGGGGTGAAAAATTCGAAAATGCACATAATAGCTCATTCGACTCAGCTCGTCGAGCTGAGTCGAATGACACCAAAATCACCGAAATCCGACTTGATTGGAAAAAGTTATGATCGTTTGTTTTAGCTCCTTACCTATGGTCTATGAGGAGGTTTTTGCTGCTACGGAGGCCCCAAGTACGTCCAGAACAAGGGAGATAGGAATAGGTTTATGTTACTGACCCAGACCCAGCGACCGTTGACTCCCCGCGAGGCGCGTGCCGCGAAACCCCGCGCGAAGCGCGGGGTTTTGCACAAGCGCCTCGCCGACGCTCCATAGGTTTACGTTGACCATTTTGAACCTCTTTATTTTGGCTCAGAATCAAGGTATCGAGCTGATTTTGGTGTCATTCGACTCAGCTCGATGAGCTGAGTCGAATGAGCTATTATTTGCATTTTTGAATTTTTCATCCCAAAATGAGTACTCCCCCCTTCTCTTTTTCAAACTTCAGGGGTCTGTATCTCGGTCCCTGATTGTCGGATCGACTTCTCCCACCCCTAGTTCGATTCAGTTTTCGAAGCTCTTTCGAATGACACCTCACTTGAACTAATCGGTCCAAAAACAAAAAACCTAGTATAAGTCACAACATTCCAAAAATTGACCGGTACGGTATCGGTATACCGGAAAAATACCGATACCGGAAAATACCGTCCCAACATTTTCGGTATACCGGCCGGTATTCGGTATTTTTAAAAAAATTTTATAAAATTTTTTAAATTTTATTTTTAAAATTTCAACAATAAATCTTAACAATCTCAAGGACTTGAGCTTCTTCTAATCGATCATAGGCAAGATTTGAATCAGCAAAATGTCCAACAATTGCTCGACATTTAGCTAATTGAAAAATACAATGCCCCCTCCATTAGAATACCCTGCTTTAATAGTATGTCCCCTGGAGGATGATTGAAAATTACTATGCCCCCACCATTAGAATACCCTCCTTTAATAGAATGCCCCAGAAGGATAATTGAAAAATACAATGCGCCCTCTAATAGAATGTCCCTATATATCCTTTTTCAGCGCCGCAGGCGAAAATTTTGAGAATTTTGGAAGACCAGAAGACAGATTTCTGCCTTTTTCAGCGCCGCAGGCGAAAATTTTGAGAATTTCACAAATACCGAAATACCGAAAAATACCGCGGTATTTTTTTGAGGACCGGTACGGTTTCGGTATCGGTTTCGGTATCGGTATTTGGAGGAAAATAAAAGATAGGGCGATGACTTGAAGATTTTACTTTTTCCTAAATTACACAATACTAACAAATTATAAAAATATTTTTTTCTAAAGGAATAGAGCAATACGTGTTAGTTTTCTTCTTGTAATGGGTTATTTTATTTGTTGGTTACCATACAATTGTTTATCCCTTTTACAATTTATATACCCAGAATTATATTCAAAACATGCTAGTAAAGTATATAATCTAAATGGAATTATTGTGTTAGTTTTTTTAAAATTATTTTTTATTAAAATATTAATAAAAATAAGAATGTGTTTATATATTTAATTAAAAATAATATCAACAATTTCCTATTAAAATTTTATTTTTTGGTTCACATAAATAGGGTTGTCGGTTCCTGAAAATTTTTCGGATATCCGAACCCGGACCGAAGAACCGAACCTAAAAATCCTCAGTTCTTCGGTTCAGTTCGGTCCAGAACGAACAACCCGAACAACCCTACTCATGAGATCTACCACAGTTTTTATAAAATATTTTAACACTAAACTTTTTTAATTTGATAAAAACATTGTGTCTTAGTTGTTTAGGCGAACCTTTTGTCAATTAATTTTAAATCTAAATTCTATCTAAATTTTATCTAAATTCTATCTTAATTCTGTCTAAATATTACCTTACAGCCAATTTAAATTTTAATAAAAATATTAAATTATGAACGTGAAGGGGAGGGGGAGGGAGGGAGGGTTTTTCGTTATTTTACACAAAATAATTTTAATAATTTTCTTTAAAAAATATAAATTTTTTAGTTTCAATTCTGTTATCAACCCTTATTTGTACGGTCTCTGTGGTGGATTATGTCGACAAGGACGGAGAAATTCTTAAGAAAATTCTTAGCCAGTTTATTAATTCTAATTATTTTTACTTGCCAAAATAAAAAATATTTAATTTGATCTCTTTATTTTTAAATAAATTTTTTCTTTAACAAATTTTGAAAAATAAAATTCTCGTATCCCCTCAAAATCTCTATTCCTTAAAATCTCTACTGGGCTAAAATGCCTTATAATCTCTACACAGCTAAAATTCACTAAAATCTCTACACGGCTAAAAATGATTAAAATAACTATTCCTTAAAATCTCTATTCCTCATAATCTCTACACGAGTAAAATGCCTTAAAATCTCTACAAGGCTCGTAAATAGGCAAAATATCTATTTTTATTAAGAAGCCTTTTGAGTGCCAACGCTAAGTGCGGGAACGTTGTTCTGATTTCTGGATTATCTTTTGATCTGATTTCTGGATTATCTTTTGCTTGTATAGTTTTTGACGCTGCGGATGAACCCAGTCATGTCCAGCGGAACGACAGCAGCCGCTTCGATACGATCACCGCAAGGAAAATGAACACGACCGCAGCGAAGCAGTCGTGTCTTATATTTTCGATATTTAAGGCGGATACAGGCGGATATGGCAGCCATTTTTAAACTAATTGTACCCGTATCCATTAATCCATTAACAAGTCTGGTTTTTCCAGAGAAAGATTCAGATGGTACACTTTTGTTGAGACTCAACCGTCCATTTGCGCGGTGTAGAGATTTTAATTATTTTTACCCCAGTAGAGATTTTAAGGAATAGTTATTTTAAGGAATAAAGATTTTAAGCATTTTTAGCCGTGTAGAGATTTTAAGGAATAGCGATTTTAAGGAATAGAGATTTTGTATGGGAGCCAAAATTCTTCCTTTGTATCTTCCTAATGCTCTAAGATGCACGAATCCAGTGTTATTTTTAATTAGAGAATTTCGATTCCTATTTATTGTCGCCATAAATATTTATTTTGTATTTTTAATTTTTTATTTTTTATAAATCTTTAAATAATTTTAATACATGCTAATTTTAAAGATTTTAGAGAGGTAAGAATAAGCGCTATGCTATGGTTACATAAGAAGCGTCTTGCGTTTTGTGGAAAAAATAGCATTGTAAATGAAGAGACGCGACTTTGTGTCTCTTTCATTTCAGTGCTATTTTTTGCCGCAAAAAGGCCGCAGAAGGAATTTTTAAAACATCAAAAATAAATTTAAAATAAAATATTTGTATTATTTTTAAAAATTTGTTGTAGTGTTTATATTTGTTTGAGCAATTAATGACGTTTTTAATGGATATTTTTGCAGTTTCAGTACTTCTGTGCTTGTAGTTGCATACTGTATAACCTTTATTAATTGCCCTCTCCCAAATAATTACCCCGCTTCAATTAATTACCCCCACGAGCGATAGGTTTACACAATAATTACTCCCATCAAATTCCCTACCACATAATATTCAAATCTTGAATAACTCCCTTACCTTTATTAATGATACCTTTTAACTACCGTATTTCCTAAAATAAAGCCCCATGCTAAATTAGAGCCACACTCTAAAATAGGGCCCCACTTGGAGAGTAGCTGAAAAATAGAGCCCCATGGTGAATACTGTATAGAAAATACGGTATATGCTTTTTGAAATTACTCAATAAGTTTAATTATTTTTAAATTAAAACACAAAATAGTTGAAAAAAACATTTTTTTTAATTTTTCAAAATTTTTAATTGATTAATTACCCAATCATTTACTCACATGTATAATCATACGTTTGACAGCTTTTAAAAATTAAAAATTATTGCAATTCCTTAAAATATAATAGATAGAATAAATATGTAGTATGTACATTTCCCTTCATTCATTACTGTTAATTCTCTAATTCTTCCCCTTAATTTATCTCTAAGAAAAATAAATTTAAAAAATTTAGAGTTATGTAAAAAAATATAATAAAAAAATGCAAATCTATTTTTTCTTGAATGCAGATGGAGTTTGGATATTAGATAGATATATTTACTATATCAACCAGAAATGCTTTTCATAATTTTAGATAAAAGAATGTCTTTGTTAAATGGGAAATTATAGCATGCCGTATTTATAAATACTTTAAAGTAAAATAATTTCGGGCCCGGTCAGGATCTACCTGACTTTCTTGATTAATCCTGTCCGGAAATAGGAAATAGCAAACCTGTAAAAATCTTGCGACAAAGAAAACCTGAAACGCAAAGAAAAATTTATTTTTCTGATAAAAAGATTGTTTTTTATTAACAAATATAAATTTAACTATTTATCTGGTCCTTTTTAAATGATTTTGTAATTATTCCTTAAAAAGGATTTATTCTAATGCTTTGAATAAAGCATTCGATTTGGACAAAAATTGGAAACATTAGCCAACCTGATATTTCGCTAGAATTTTTATTTATTATCATGGTCCCTGCAAATCTCAGGATATTTGGACATTATTTGGTTCCAGATATACGGAACAACTTATTGTGTATTTATAAATTTAGAAAAATAAAGTTTATATTCAACTTCAACATATGATATTTTATTTACTATTTATTAATTTTGTTTTAATTTATTCTAAATGCTTTGTAATTTCTGGGGACAACATTGATGATGACGATTTTAATGAGTTTATGAACAATTTAGCTCCTTTAGACGGTAAGATATTTAGTTAAACTAAATATGCAAAGAATATTTTTTAAAAGTAAACTTTCTTTATTAAGGGGCTAATTTGGAATTGACAACTAATAATAATTCGGGGTCCAATACTCCTTACCAAAATCAAGAAGAACCGCCACAATACCACCACACAACGTCTCTAAATACTCCAATTCAAACACAAAATTTACCTGCAAGCCCGACACAATATTTTCATCAAGATAGAGGTGAAGGAGGGTCATCTTCAATTACTCCAGCAGAGAAAAACAAAGAAATTCGAAACAAGGGTGTTTTGGTCACAAAAGATATGATTATTCAGAGGGAGACAGGTATGTTGTAAGTAATATGCCGTAAATGTTAATACATACAGTAATGGGCAAAGGATTATGCGCGATTTTTATTATAAAATTATTTTTAATGTAAAAATTTGCTATTGTAAGGTGATGAGCAGAGTACAGATAAAATTAAAAATTTAATTCCCAGCACGCCCACATAAATAGATGTAAAGCTTAGTCGCATAAAAGGAAAGGAAACTACCACTGAAAGGACAGTGATTTTTATTCATTCAATCAAGCGCCCATTCACTTATTAATCCCTCTGAACATTTAATCCATGCATGAGACGTCTATAAACTGATGATTATTACCGCGGTCACCCTCTTATAATTCCCTCACTCCGACATCCATATTTCCTGCGGCAATACTTAACTATGGAATGACAACAACTACTCAATGCCCTGGCCAGGCAATACAGAAGAATTATTCCAACAGTCATTCACCCCCAACTACTCTGGCAGCGATCCATCCTACTTCTAATGCCTCTGCTCGTCCCCTATGTGCCCGCACTCTTACTCTATTTTCTGTTTAAAAATGTGGTCACCTTTAAAATTTAGTCATTTTACAATCAAGTATACGTCATTCTCACTTTAATTAGTGACAATATAATTAAATTCGACGATTTAACTGAATATTAAGAAAAAACGAAAAATAAACAAGTATCGGACTATACGGAGGTTGAGAAATCAAATATGGAAAAATTGGCTATATATGTTCAATTAGTTGATGTTGATAAGCTTGAAATGAAGAATATTGACAAAGCTTTCGCATTAAATTATCGAGAAGTAACCGGTAGTTGTTTTATAATGTAACAAAATTGATCAAAAAAGTTTTTCTATGAAAATTTTTTAATGAGTTAGAACACCAATTTTTTACAATGAAAACAAATTTTTAGGGATTTTTTCTTTAACAATGCTAAAAAACAATAATTCCGAGTAATTTTATTAATGCAATTCATATAAGCAATTTAAATTTTAATTAATAGTAATTCCCAAATATTTTAAAGGTGACCACATATATTTTATTAAAAAAAGAATATATAAAGGCTTCACATATAATAAGGATCAAAAAAGCCACGAATCCTACAAATGGAAATGCAGAACTCATAAAGAAACTAAGTGTAAAGGAAGACTTCATTATGTTGGTTACGATTACTTTACTTACGAACAAAAAACAAAAACAACAAAAAGAAAACGTAGAGAAGGAAATTACTCAATCGAAGAAGCTGAACGCTATATATTTGAATATGTCGGAGAACATACATGTATTCCCAAGGGTATATAGTCACGTTTTAAGCCACTAATTCTAAGAAAAAATTAAACGAATTAAACGCCGTTTAGAAGGACCATTTACCGTTTATGCCGTTTATCTGGGACCCGTTTACCGTTCCGTTTAATTTTAGCAAAAACCCGTTTATCGTATACCGTTTACCGTTTAGCTAAACGGTTTTGTCCACCCTAGTATATACATTAGATATATCTTGATAAAATCTATTAACTTTACATTAACAAGGTTCATGATATCGAATTCCTTTGAATATAATTCGAGCTGAAATATAATTCAAGCGCCGAATTTAAATTTTAAAGCCTTAGATGAAAATTTTGAGAATTTTATGTTTTAGCCTCAAAGCTATCTAGGTCCGAACCGAATCCTTCGGTTAACCGAACCGATAAACCGAATAAAAAATCATCGGTATAGTGAAACGACAGCCTTAGTCTTGGGTTTTGTCTTGAGAAAATTCGAGTGTAGGGCTGTCTTAGTTCTAATATACATTTTAATGAAATTGGAGCAAACCGCTCAGAAATTATTTTTCTTTACTTATCGTAAAATTTACAGGACCATATAATTTCACAAGGAATATTTGTATTACGCCCATGATACAAAATATAAAGCAAATATCCTATACAATTTATATAGTAGATAAAGGAGAAAAAAAATTTGTTGGAACACAAGAATTTGGCGTTAATTGTAAAACTCAAAATTTCACTTTGTTTGAAAAAACGCCCAATTTCCATTTTGTTGTTGATTGGAGCGAACCTTTATCTTTCGGTAAAGATGATGTTTTGTATGAGGTTTAATGAAGATAACGTTTTATTTATTTTTAAGTTTTTAATATTAACAGAGTACTTTCATTAATGCTTCAGAATCTATATCTAATTCAAATATTGTGTTGAATTTGGAGGGAGCACCGCGAAAGAAACTGGATTAAATTTGGATTTGAAGATTAAGAAGGGGCTTATTTGGTAGAGAAAAAGAGGGATAATTTTTAAAATTTTTGCTTTTTTTAATTTTTTAAGATTTATAGCCTTCGGAATTTTATATTATTTCCTTAATGGTAATCTTTTTCTGTTTTTAAGATTTTATATTATTTTTTCATTTGAAAATTTTTTTAAATTTTTTATTATTTATTAGATTCGGAATTTACATTTTATATTATTTAAAAAAGATTCGGAATTTTAAATTATTTTTTTAATTGGCAATTCCTTTTTTATAACAAACTAAACTTTTCTTTTTCATTGTTAATGTTATTTATCTTTGACTCTTAAATAAATGCTTGATATTTGTTGAATACCTAATTTAATGCAGAGTTGCCAGGTGTACTTATTTTGGAAGTACAGTACTTACAAATCCTTCGTACTTACGAAATTGAACTAAAGTGCCGCAGTTTTGTACTTACACTTATGTACTTACACATAACATTTTCTAGATGGCAGTCCTGATTTAATGAATAATATATTCACTATGGTTGTTTATGACCTGTTTTAAAACCAAAAATTTGATATTTTTTGTCAAAAATTAACGGTTTTATAAAATTTAAAAACCCAAAATTTCTTGAAAATGAGTGATTCTTTTAAAAATTTCTCAACATAGAGGCTCTATGTTAGGGAATTTTTAATAGTATCACTCATTTTCAAGAAATTTTGGGTATTTAACTAAAACTCAAAACCGAAAACCCGTGTTTTTAAAGATTGGATTACTGAAACCCGGGGGTAGTACTTCGTTTTATGTTTAATTTAGCTTTTATAGAACTAAATTATGACACTTTTAATGATTTTTTTATATGTTTAATTTAGCTTTATCATCGAAAAATTTGGATATTAACTATTAACCGGTTACGGTATTCGGGCAAATAAAAACACGAGTAGACATTAACCGGGGGGGGGGCGATTATTTTTTTTTATTATTTTTTTATTTTTCATTTATTTTTTTTAATTTTCTCAACAAACTTTAAAAAAATTAACATTAAAATTATTAAAATTAGAGTTATAGCCTGGACAAAGACCAAGGCACTTATGTAGGGAAAAGACTGTTTTTTATCAGGTAAACCACAGAATATTCCAAAAAAATTAGTAATTAATTTACAAAATAAATAAAATATTTGGCCTAAGTACACTTTACCGGGCGATTTTAGATTTTTATGATTTATATGTCAATCGAAAGAGCTCGGCGAGCTGAGTCGAATGACACCAAAATTAGCCCGCGGACTCAACTATGGACCGAGATATGGGTCCCCAAAAATCCAAAAACCATAGGGGGGACCAAGCACTTTTTTGGGGTAAAATATTCAAAATATGCAAATAGTAACTCATTCGAAGGAGCTCCTCGAGCTGAGTCGAATGAGACCAAAATCATCGTGATTGGACAAGTTTGGACAAAGTTACGATAGAAAAACTAAAACCTAAACCTATGGAGCGTCGGCGAGGCGCTTGTGCAAAACCCCGCGCTTCGCGCGGGGTTTTGCGGCGCGCTTCGCGCGGGGTTTTGCGGCACGCGCCTCGCGGGGAGTCTACGGGCGCTGGGTCTGGGCTCGTAACATAAACCTATTCCTATCTCCCTTGCTCTGGACGTATTTGGGGCCTCCGTAGCAGCAAAAATCTCCACAGATGCCATAGGTAAGGAGCTAAAATAAAAGATCATAACTTTGTCAAATCAAGTCGGATTTCGTTGATTTTGGTCTCATTCGACTCAGCTCGACGAGCTCTTTCGAATGAGGTATAATTTGCATATTCGAACTTTTTAATCCCAAAAAAGTGCTTGGTCCCCCCTATGGTTTTTCGATTTTCGGGGGCCTATATCTCGGTCCATAGTTGAGTCCGCGGGCTAATTTTGGTGTCATTCGACTCAGCTCGCCGAGCTCTTTCGATTGACATATAAATCATAAAAATCTAAAATCGCCCGGTAAAGTGTACTTTAGCCAAATATTTTATTAATCATACTTAAAAGTTGTTAGATAATCGGTAATAACGAGTATTTTATTTTTACTTTTCAATAACAAAATACACAACAGAGTGTGCAGCAGGGATGGGAAGGGTTGAGGAAAAAGTCGGGTCGGGTTTTGAAATTTTCTTCGGATCGGGTTTCGAGTCGAAAAAGGTCCGGGTTTCGGTGTTTTTTGATAACCGGTAAATCTCCAGTTACTGATCCAGTATACATTTTTTCACTTGGAAAAGAAGAGAAATAATAATTATAAATTAAAGGCATTTAGATATTATGCAAATAATTTTTGATTCGATATCAAGAATCTAATCATCGAAAATTTGGAAATTAGTTTTTTATTTCGAGAAAAACATTACACATTAATTAAATAGAAAAAACCACCTATAAGTTGCCTCTTTTAAAATATAAATTTTTGTATTCTACCCATAACTCTTGACAACCATGGCGAGCACGCAAAAAGTTAAAAAATTATGTACTTTGTAATTAATATACATAGACTAAATATTTTTCTTTTTTAATTTCTAGAAATTCTGAATGATGAAGTCAGTGCCTTGTGGGTTCCGGCAAATCTGCACTCTAAAAGTACATATAAACAAAATTCTCAAGATAAAAAATTACATCACCTAATTTAGAAATTTAAAATTTTGTCTAATTTCATGGGAAAGAGAAGAGGGAAATTAATAGTTTTTAATATTTTTTGTGGGAAAAAATAAAATATTTAGAAATATTATTATATTATAAATAGTAAATAAAAGTTTAAATTAACAAATAATTTAAATATATTAAATAAATATCTTTTTAATCAAAAATAATTTTTAAAATTAAATTACAATTAAAATGAATTTCTTGAATATTTTGTCTTTTCATTGTTTATTATTTGTTTTATTTGTTAGACTCGAAGCTGCTCCAAAAAGAAAGGAAAATGCTAACAAAAAAGTAAAAATATCACCAATTGGTAAGTGATAGGGTTTAAAAAATTTTAAAAAATTGAACTGTTAATTTTTATACATAGATATTAGGCAAAAGGAGGATGTTAGAAAATTAAATATTAGTAGGGTTCATTCTCAGACTTTTCAAATTCCACGGTCTGACACATTTTTTATTATAAGAATGACCTAGTCAGCCATGTTCATGTCTAGAATATATAACTGTTTGGAAATTTCGATTTCCGATTTTGAGGTTTTTCTTTTAGATTTACAAATTTCTGAAAAAATTAGAATTTTTGGTGGCAAAAAAGTGGAATTATGGCTTCTCTTGCCATTATAAATTTAAAAAATTTTTGCTTGCGGCGTAGGAAAGGAAGATTTTTAACTCTATTTACGATGTTTATTTCGTTAGATTTCAAAGATTTTGAAAAAGATTTCATTGCCGCGACCTTATTCCCCTACCTTATTCCTCCCCAATCTAAAATTTTATAGAAAAATATTTATAGAAAAATTCACTCAGATGTGAATTAATTTCTAAATCTAAACTTAATATTTAGTTGAATTGTTTGAATATGCTGACGCTTCTGTTGTTAATCAAAATCAAACAAATAATTTTAATAATAAAATATCTAAATCAAACAAACAAACTAATGAAACCTCAAATTTAA